GCGGTATATCCACGCAGAAAAGTATTATGATTACGCTATACTACATTAAAAATAGTTTTCGATATCGTTAGTCATTGTGTTGTAGTATTATTTTATCAATGAAACTATTATTGTGAAACGTATAAATTTCGCTGCAAACGCGTTTTATTAGCCCAGCACCTTATCAGACGTGCGAGAGAATATTGACATACGAACCAAGGAACTGTGCATCTTGCTATGCATGCCAAGCATTCAAACTTTCTCTGACAATCTTCCCTGCGCACAGAATTATAATTATATCGATATAAACACTGGAATTTCCCCGACGGACACTTCCAACACTTCCACCGTCACGCACATTTTTTTTCGTTTTTCTTTTCAGAAAATGCTTTATTCCATCTTCCAAAATTAAATATTATCTCAGTAAGTTCGTATTTTTAGAGGAACTGACGGCATGATAACGGAGTCATCAGGAAGACGTACTCTGTATGAAAAAATTGAACAGTTCTCGGCAAATCATTCGGCATATTGTCTCTAGCAAGATTTTCGTACGGGTATATTTTCGATTAAAAAAATAATTATGTAGAATAGTGACACATTAGGTCAAACACAGGGAAATATCTTGAGACAGGGTTGGCGCGCGTTAAACTGGTTGTTGTCGAGCTCGATCGGTCTGCTCGAAGCGGTGTAGTTTCCCCTTCGTTGCTTTCCTAGCGTACCAACGCGTCCACCACCGCCGCGTGTCCCACCGAAACCCACCACGCACTACGAATTCTCCTCTCTATCCCTACCAGGATGACGGCGCCCCGACGCTTCCCGCGCGACGTCGCAGTTCATGAAATTCCGGAATTCCGCGCCTCGGCGACTCCACCTTCCCCTCACGAGCCGCTAAATCTTTTTTAAACCACGCCTAGTAGCCCTGTCGAGTGAGCGAGATGACGATAGGGTAAAAAAAAGCGAGCACGCGCGGGCGATTCTGCCGTTTTTCCCACTTCTTTGGCGATGCAAACACGTTGCGCGATGAAACTCCACCCTCTTTTCGCGGCGCTCCCCTACCGTCCCCACCATTCACCCCTCCGATCTCTGTCGACGCTTTTCCGCCACGCGAGATTTTCCGCCGAGTTCGTCACCCAGTGAAAGGTAGCAGACACTTGTGACACCCATCGATAGCTGGCACCAGCGTACGCACACGTCGTCTAACTAACGAAGAATACATTAAACTTGTTTTACAAAACAGGTTCTAGCGGATATCATATATGATTGCATATATCATGTATGATTCTATATGAGTATATATGATACAAAAAATATTTTTTAATAAACTTTATATTAGTAACTTCTCTACTTTCAGATTTTACTTTGCTCTCTGTAATATGTTTATTGAGTAATAGAATTGTAATTTTACGTAATTTACAAAGCGTTATTATGTGTATAGAAAATACTGAAGTTATACAAAAAAGAAATCAATTTTCAAACATAAAGTCCGAGGAATAATTGATTTTATATTTTATAAATATATTATATAAAAAAAAGATTCATGATTATTAATTGTGAAAGATAAAATAATTCATATTTTACACGATCAATATAACATATATACGTTATAAAAAAAGAAAATCTAATTAGTTGTTAGATATTACACATCAAATATTTGAAAAAACCTATTCACATTCATTTGTTTAACAATTATTTATTCATAGAATAATTTAAATAATTCATGTTGTTAAAAGAGCTGCCTGCTGCAGACATGATACCGACACGAGCCCCTTTTACTGTCTTTTATCGCGTTCGCTGACTAAACGCTGGCGACATCTGGTGAGAAGTATCAAGAGGTAAAAAACTACCCCTTCAAAATTTTTAGAAATATTTTAATATCTTCAATCGGATATTTTTTTAATATATGTAAAACATTTTTTAAATATAGAATATTTGGATAAACCAAAAAACTTGATATATCAACAATTTTGAATTTTTGTGAAAAAAAAAATGTAATTCTGAAATATTGCAACAGCAATTTCTTCAATAAAGTGATTTCTATTTACATGTTGAAATAAAAATGTCAGAAAGTAAGAATAAACAAAAAATTATATGAATTAGTACACACACACACATGTATACACATTATAAAATATATTATATATTTTAATATATTATAAAATAATAATATATTAAAAACGGATGTCAAAATTAATTTAGTAAGAAGTACAATTGTAGAACAAGTGATATGAAAACACCCTTGCCAAAAAAGGGTCGGTAATTCATGTCGGTATTTTGTCTCTTCCCTTCTTGCACAGAGTCGGTAAAACGATAAAACAGATGTTTTCGCGGAAGGAATTCCCGATTAATCCGAAATTGCAAAAGGGGTGCGAAAGGGGGTTTGCCGCGATGGCACGTGTCGATGCAATTTGTGCAGCTGAGTGCACAGGAAACCGATCAATTGCCGCGGAATGGTTGAGTTGCTTCGATCGATCGTTACAATACCAGTCACATCTGCATTTTTATTATACTTTCGCTGCTTCTAGACGTTATCTTTTGAATATATATAAAGAGAATTTCGATATATAAACGCTCTTTACTAACAAGAATTATATTACTTTTATATTTTCTTTTTTATATTCACAAGTTTTAAATTAATTTCAATTTGTATCCATTATAATATATATTTCTGAAAAATATATAAATTGTATGGATACGTTAAAATTATAATAATTTTATTTTGCAATTTGGAAATAAAAAAAAAATAGTTGATAGTAATCTAAACAGATTTTTTCTTGCTTTTCCTCAATCAGTTAATTAAGAATATAAACTAGCTCTCCTTAAAATATTTCTATTAATTAATTGGATTAATTTATAATAGATTATGTTTTGGTTGTTTCTTTCGTTTTATGTATAATGTAAACTTTTATACACACATTATGTACGTACATCATACTAGCAAATGATTCTAAATATATTCACATTCTGTTCCTATCAAACTATCTTATTTTCTCATTAATTCACTCTCACTACAAAACTTTAAATATCGATTTATCTAAAAATATCTAAATCGTTTCACGCTCTTACGGAATAGCAGAGAAACTGTCAATATCGGCGAGTGACTCAGTGGTTTTTCTAAACACTTGGGATTAAGGATAACGGATTGCATCTCCGTGGTAAGCAAGAGTCCAGCAGACTAATTCAGTCTAATGACATGAGCTTAAGTGTGCGATCCTCGGGTGTGATTGGACGCCGACGGCGTTTCGCAATACCTGGAAGCCCGTCGGGGCGATAGCACCCTACCGGGATGACGTCGCACAGCGGTGCGTATATAACAACCGACGGATTACGCCGGTAGGCCTGTCGGCAGCCGTAATTGATTTCGCTTAAACAGCTAAGCGTATCAATCTCTCTAATAGCTACGTCATTGCGCGATGAAGAAGCTAGAATGGAAAGCTCAGTTAACTCCTTTTTATTGACGACCCGTTTATCTTATTTATTTCGAATCTCGATTTCTAATAATTCTCGATCAATGATCTGATTTTTCTTTGATAATAAAGAATCTACATTTGTGTTATCAAACGAATAACTTTCGATAACATATATAAAAAGGATAAAAAGTGCAGCAGATGCTAAAAACAACACAACATAATAAAATATTATATTTACCGATATACATAACGAATATGTGTAATATCACATATCTAAAGGTATGCATTCTAATTCAATATTAAACATGAGTAATATTCGATATTAAATGGGCTTTGAAGATGTGAGATCCGCGATAAGAAAGTATAGAATTATATCCAATACTTAGTGTGGTCAGTTTTTAAGGATATAAAATAAAATTATTTAAATAGTTCATATAATTAAAAACTATTATATGTAAAATAACTAATTTGTGAACTAAGCGATTACTTTGGCACTGGGTTAGAGGTGCCGGTCGATTGCATTACGTTTTACACCAGGTTAAAACATATGTAGGCGGTGTTACGTAGCACAAAACAGGACGTTTTGCAGTTGGACGTTAGACAACGAAACGTAGTTTACGATCACCCGAAGCGATAAATAATTCTCGGTATGATGTCCCACGACTATTTCGCCACCTACGGCGTGCGTGTCTACGATTTTCTTTACGAATAGCCGTTATTCGCTCGCACGCAAAAAGGTCAATCGAGAGTCGCACAAACAGCGTGAATTAGATATTCACATGAAGACAAGCATTCTACGTTGCAAAGGCAGATTTTACGATTTCCTTTATCTTCCGCTCACTCACTGAGTATTTCACAAAGTCAATAAAACCCGCAATCAGCCCGCTAATGGATACGCGAGTCGAAAGAATGAGGTTCTATTAACGCTGCGAAAGAAAAAAAAGCAACGTTCGTTATGTCCCTAATCGGAAATCGTAACCGATAAGAAAACGGGCAAAGGTAATTGTCGGATAATTGAGTTGTCGCGTACTTTTTTTTATCGCGAAATTGACTTTAACGGTTACAACATCACGGCAAACAATTTCCGCAAATTCAATCGTAAAACGCCATTTATTTAAATTTCGCAATACGAAATTTTCATTTAAAGAATTTATCAATTCCAACATCGTCTACGATCAATTAATACGCGTTTTTAAAAATATCCATCTCTGTAATCTTTGTAATACATAGATAATATTAGAATGATGCGAGCAAAGATACATTTTGCATTTCAAACTTGCGGCTTGATGAAGCA